TGTTTAGGCCATGTCATTTGGGCCTACTTTGCAGAAAAAAAAAAAAAAAAAAAAAAAAAAAAAAAAAAAAAATAATCCGAGCAAATTCAATAGGGACCTCGCACGGTCGTGCTCGGGCCCTAATAATCCGAGCAAATTCAATAGGGACCTCACACGGTCGTGCTCGGGCCCTAATTAAAGCTGCAAGCAGCGTTGGGCGGGCCCTCGCACTTGTAGCGCGTCCGCGTGTGAGCCGGCCGAGTCGCATATTCTGGAGCTCTGCCGGTGCGGCTGTGAATTTCCTACGCGGTTCCGACGCCGCATGAATGTGCTATATGTCACTTCCTGTGTCCCCTATGTGGAGCTACATAGCACTTGCCGCTATGAATATAAATCGGTATTGACGTGTAGATGTCTGCGGGGTGGGAGAGTTATCAAGCACGTAAAGTTTGTTTCAGATGTGAACATGTACACTGAACAATAATGTACCCAAACAATAAAATAAATTCCTTTTATATTTCCCTGCCTTGTTGTTTATGTGTACATACAGAGGAAGAATGTGAGAACAGCACACATTTATCGTTACTGTGTGTTAGAGCATGGGAGAACAGTGGATACTTTTAATACAGCCCACACCCCTAATACTGTGTAACTATAACAAGTAGAGAACAGAAGAAAAAGATGTTCTTTCTTTACAACTGTCTGCATAGCTTATTCATATTGTGTAATGAATGAAAATAAATAGGCCTACTAGGCTCCTCTCTACTTTGACATTTAAGATTAGCTGGTTTGATCCACCTTCATACACATGTGACATTACTGTACAACTTGAGAAAGGTGAGTTGTTTTCTGCTCCAGCCTGCCTAAAAGAAAAGCGTTTTTGGGATTAAATGGACTTTATTAGCTGCTGCAGTGCAGGATGAACTCAGAATAGACCCATTTCTCACCTTATTATTCTAAATCATGCAACGAAGAAGAAGAAATGCATAATAAATCCTGGGACAAAATCTGTCCACAGCATGTAGTCTGATGAACAAGACTTGTGTTATAGCTGACTTGGGCAGTGAAATGTTTATTTTTTTAATTCATGTGGTCATAGTTGTCCACAACTCAAATCAGAATATAAGAAGAAATGTTTTATACCACCTCAAGAAGGCTTCCTATCAGAAAGTTAGGAAGGTATTTCAAATGTACAACTGCAGTACTTAATTCTAAGTAAAGTAATTTCCCTGACATTACTGTGTTACGCATGTAACAGGTTTTATACTTCCTGTGAGTATAATCCAATCAGTCTTATTTTCATACTGTATATCCGTTGTGTAATTTGATAAATTGTGTTGTATGTGGTGCTCGCATCGGGTACTACTGAGACTTCATTGCCCTCTTCAGAGAAGACTCTGACTGCAACATGCGTCTTTGTAAAGAGAGAAACGGACAGAAAAAGTCTCTAACTCTGCCTGTCAGCTCGCTCTGCTCCGTTAAAACTGAATTTACCATACAGAATTGAATACGAGTGCACTCCAGATTTAGCTGCAGCCAGCTGACCGTGTGCTTCTCCCTGTACCGCAGTTCTGTGTCCATGCATGCAGCAAACTGAAAGCACTGTCTGTCGGAGCGTCTACGTGAAAAGAGAAGGAAGACATGGCTGGTAGTGTCTTCAGAGTTGTTAAACACCTCAGCGCACTGAAGGAAGCCATCTGACTGTGTGAGGGGCAAGATCGTTGATGTCTGCAGGCAGAGTAGGCCTAGAGCTCTCCTGTCTGACTGGTCCACCAATAGCAGAGAAGATGACCCCTTGAGACACAGCCCCTCCTCATTTGCATAATGAGGCAGAAATTTAAAAAGGACAGGCAGAAATAAATACCATGGGTGAAAATAAATAAGGTAGAAAAATACAAAGGAAGAATAAAACAGACAAAAATATTAAAACACACACATAAATAAATATTTTAAAAATTAGTAATAAATAAAGTTGAAGATTATAACGGAGAATAAATAAATAAGGTAATTATAACAAAGGTGAATAAGTAAAGGCACTAATTAAAATATACATTTATGTCTCCTTGTATAATTTAATTACTACCTACATTTATTTATTTACTTTATTTTTTTGTGTATTTAATTGGATGCTTATTTATTTATTGAGCATTTATTTATTTCTGTATTTATTTCTGACTGTGTCAGGATCGGTCCTCCATAGCGGGGTGGGAGAGTTATCAAGCACGTAAAGTTTGGTTCAGATGTTAGCATGTACACTGAAGTTACAACAACTTCCTGTGTCATGGCGAAGACTTGATCTTTGACGCCACGCCACAGACACGCCCATTGACGAAAACTTGCAAATAGCACAACTTTTCATCTTCAATGCCTTTAGAAGGCACAGCAGAAATTTGAGGTCGGTCGGACTTAATCCCTAGGAGGAGTTCGTTAAAGTACGAAGTGTGTAAATCATCCAAAATTTGACGTAAAATTCAAAATGGCCGACTTCCTGTTGGGTTTAGGCTATGGCTCCAAGAGACTTTTTTGTGCGTCTGGACAAGATACACGTACCACAGAAAATTCGTGCACGTAGGTGAAACGTGCGGCGGGGGCTGCTTCGTTAAAAGTCACTTCCTGTTGCCAGCAGGTGGCGCTATGACTGTGGGTGAATATCAGCATGTACATGTGTTCAGGGCGGGACTCTCATCCTACATGTACAGTTTGGTCCAGATGTGAGCATGTACACTGAAGCTACGACAACTTCCGTGTCATGGCGAAGAGCTGATCTTTGACGCCACGCCACGGACAGGCCCATTGACGAAAACTTGCAAATAGCACAACTTTTCATCTTCAATGCCTTTAGAAGGCACAGCAGAAATTTGAGGTTGGTCGGACTAAATCCCTAGGAGGAGTTCGTTAAAGTACGAAGTGTGTAAATCATCCAAAATTTGACATAAAATTCAAAATAGCTGACTTCCTGTTGGGTTTAGGCTATGGCTCCAAGAGACTTTTTTGTGCGTCTGGACAAGATACACGTACCACAGAAAATTCGTGCACGTAGGTGAAACATGCGGCGGGGGCTGCTTCGTTAAAGGTCACTTTCTATTGCCAGCAGGTGGCGCTATGACTGTGGGTGAATGTCGGCATGTACATGTGTTCAGGGCGGGACTATCATCCTAGATGTACAGTTTGGTCCAGATGTGAGCATGTACACTGAAGTTACAACAACTTCCTGTTTCATAGCGAATCATCGACGCCACGGACACGCCCATTGACGAAAACGCGCAAATAGCACAACTTTTCATCGTCAATGCCTTTAGAAGGCACAGCAGAAATTTGACGTCGATCCGACTAAATCCCTAGGAGGAGTTCGTTAAAGTACGAAGTGTGTAAATCATCCAAAAATGGCCGTAAAATTCAAAATGGCCGACTTCCTGTTGACTTTAGGCTATGGGTTCTTGAGGCTTTTTTGTGCGTCTTGATATGATACATGTCCCCAGAAAATTTCGTACATGTAGGTTGAACGTGAACGAGGGGCTAATTTTTTCCAATTTTCTAGGTGGCGCTAGCGAGTCATTTTGCAACGCCCATGTGCGAAACTTGTAGAATACGAAATTTTTCACCGGTTCTGACACGTTTGCAAATTTTGGTGAGTTTTCGAGAATGTTTAGGCCATGTCAGTTGAGCCTACTTTGCAGAAAAAAAAAAATATATAATCCGAGCAAATTCAATAGGGACCTCACACGGTCGTGCTCGGGCCCTAATAAAATATAATCCGAGCAATTTCAATAGGGACCTCGCACGGTCGTGCTCGGGCCCTAAATATAATCCGAGCAGATTCAATAGGGACCTCGCACGGTCGTGCTCGGGCCCTAAAAATAATCCGAGCAAATTCAATAGGGACCTCACACGGTCGTGCTCGGGCCCTAAAAAAAAATATATATATATATATATATATATAATCCGAGCAAATTCAATAGGGACCTCACACGGTCGTGCTCGGGCCCTAATAAAATATATATATATAATCCGAGCAAATTCAATAGGGACCTCGCACGGTCGTGCTCGGGCCCTAATAATCTGAGCAAATTCAATAGGGACCTCGCACGGTCGTGCTCGGGCCCTAATAATAATCCGAGCAAATTCAATAGGGACCTCGCACGGTCGTGCTTAAACTCTGCATGGGCACTTAGTACTTAAGGACTCAGATCAGGATTGGTACTGTAAAAACATGACTAGGAAATCACACACACAGTTTGATACTTTTCAGGAGTCATTTTGTGATCCGTTGATTTCTGTTGCCGTTTGTCTAGAGATTCAGTAGCGCTGTTATCTCACACCAAGAGCTTGTTGTTGAACTCCAATTTAATCCAATTATTTTTTCATTTCTTTCATTTATCAAAAATGGAAGTTACTTTGCAGACAAAAGCAGAGGACATTTGCACTGAGATATTAATATTCCAAAACTAATAATTGCTGTCCACTATTTTATTGTCCGTCAGCATTTTGCACAGTAACACAATTTAAATTGGACATTTTGCAGTGAAGGAATAAGAAATCTCTAATCCAAGTTACCAATTAATCTTTTATAACAATTTTCATGAACCCAGTTGTATCCATACCACGTATGAAGGGTATTTCTGCCAGGTAACAGGCTGAAATAATGTCCCATGGGTCTCGATTTCAGCTGCGACATTCTGATGGTACAGTCAGAATTTGGAGTAAACAACATGAAAGCATGGATCCATCCTGCGTTGTATCAACTGTTCAGGCTGGTGGTGGTGGGGATTTTCTTGGCACACTTTGGGCCCCTTAGTATCAATTGTGCATTGTTTAAACACAACAGACTACCTGAGTATTGTTGCTGACCATGGCCATCACTTCATGACCACAGTCTTCTGATGGCTACTTCCAGCAGGATAATGCACCATGTCACAAAGCTCAAATCATGTCAAGTTTTACGATAGATAGATAGATAGATAGATTTAAATTGATATGCCAATTTTTGACATGACCGTTGTTTGCAGAATTTGTCAGTGTACCTGAAAGTGGATGATCTTGGCATAAGTTTCAGAGATGGACTCTGCATAGAAGGGTGTGTTCCCCAGCAACATCTCATAGGCACAGATACCCAGAGCCCACCAGTCACATTCAGGACCATAACCTCCACCTCCCTTTACTGCCCTTAAAATCTCTGGAGACAAATAGTCAGGGGTCCCAACTGCTAGAGATGAGTGAACCTGCAAGGAAATCAGTAGGCTGGATTGGAATGTATTTCAAAACAAAAAAAAAGTGTCTACAGGCATTTGTTATGTTGTGTGAAACTGTTATTCACATGAAAATATGTTTAAACCATGATTTGTTTAGGGTTGGGATTGGGGTTTAGAGAGTATCTCTTGAAACATGTAAGTGTCAACCCTCACCATCCCATCCTCTAGGAGTCTCAGACAGGAACCAAAGTCCCCTAGTCTGATGTGTCCATCAGCTGTCAGCAGGATGTTGTCAGGTTTGATGTCTCTGTGTAACATATGGGGTAGAGGGGCAATTGTCACCTCTAAAGGTCAGATATCAAAACCATGGCATAGTTTGTTTGCAGTGCTTTTATACTTGTCATATTACAGTTCCAGGAGAGATTGCATATGTTGTGAGATATGTTGCAGTCTGAAACTAAAATCCAATCCAATCAAAACAATATTATCACCAACTTTAGTTATAATTTAGTTAATAATCTACCTGTGTATAAAACCTAGTCTGTGGACAGAGTCAATGGCCATGACCATCTCAGCCAGGTAGAACTGAGCCATGTCCTCAGGGATGCGATCTCCAAACTTACTGAGCAGAGTCAGCAGGTCCCCCCCTACATAGTAATCCATCACCAGGTACTGGGGTAGGAGAGAGCAGATGGTGAGGAAAATGTCAGTGAGATTTAAGTTAAATACAGAATATGCTGTAGCCTAGCAGGTCATATTTGTACAAAACATTTAATTGACACATCTTATTGGCCGTGTTTGTACTTACCAGAAAGTTGTCATCCTGAAAGGCATAGTGCAACTCTGTAATCCAGCGTCTGTCACCCCTCAGCAAAACCTCCCTCTCCTCCTGGTAACATGCTGTCTGTATGAGACACAAACATAAAAAACAGAAAGACAGATGGCCAGATGAATGTCACACTGAGCTACAAATAACTGAAGGACACCCATCTTAAATCAAAGAGCATATGCTACAATTTGACTTTTCTTTCCTTTTTTCCTATGTTTTTTTGTCCTGTGAATGTGACTGCAGCTTTGTGTCTGTGTGTGTACCTCTCCTCGCCTCAGCAAGTCCCACTTATTCATAATTTTCAGAGCATAAACTTGTTGTGTGCTTCTCATCCTGGCCACAGCAACCTGCAACAGTGACAAGAAAAAACAACCACAATAACATGAAGCATGCATACAAAAAATGGATGCAAGAATTACTGAAGACATGAGATCAATGCATGCTTAAGTCAGGACTAATCACTGAGTCATCTTAAACTGTTTGATAGAGTGATGTGGAGTTGAGTTGAATTAACATGTATCTGACACAGTGTCAACAAAAACTGAATAAAACCTTCAAAAGGTGGGATTTATAGCTGGCCAATTGTATTGGATTGCATTTAGTTGCACATGTGTTCCTAGTAATATCCAGGATAATTAGACCAATAAAAAAATAAAACGACACAAGAACACAAAACAACAATTTTTGTAGAAGAAATGGTTTCCATTGCTGAAGCAGAGCATTTTGCCTGCCTGATTTTGCTGACATGTTTAGATTTTGTTGCTTTGTTAATTAGTGCTTGGTTTTCTGCTTCTACCATGGTTAAGTTGGCTACGTAGTTAACTGGTTTATCTTTTTGGCTGTTTTAATTGTGTTTATTTTAAATTCAATCAGGATTCTGCACAGGGTCTTTTATTTTGAAAATTGACCGGTTTCTCAATGCTGTTCTGTTTATGACTTCCTGCCCGGATCGCTCTGTGCTGTCAAAAACAGACTTGCTGCGTATTCTCCGTTGTTGGGCCTCACATCCATGACAATGACGGGCCTTCAGGTAACTGAGACTGGCTATAGTCTTTACACAAAGAACAAGCTACTCATACCTAGCCATTTTGTGTTCAAAGATATAAAAGGAACCCGAGCCCAGAGCTCTCTCCCATTACAAGTTCCTCAGTGGAGGTAAATATCTCCTTGCTGCGCTTCCTAAAGAGGACTGACACTATCATCGTTGCTACCAAAAGCGACCTGAGTAAGAGGCTTGTGTCTGGGCAGCAGATAGTTTTATAACTTTGTTATTGTAACTAGGGCTTGACATTAACACCTGCCAAATGCGGGTAGATTTCAGATATGGTACGTAACACAGTCACTCTCACTAGCCACTTTGGCGTGTTGAAAAATTGTAATCTTGTCAAAAGGCACTTGAAATAACAAACTAATTGCAATGTGACGCTACAGCACAACAACGGCACCATGAAGAATACCTGCACATAGTGTTTGCTCATTGGTACATTCGTGAAGCCTTTTGTCTTGACCGACAACACTGGAAACAAGATGTGGAGATGCACATGAGTGTGAGTGTGCGTGGCTGACCAGTGTGGAGAAAAATGCGCAGGAGAACAAGAGAAAGAGAAAAGGCAGGAGGACAGTGCCATTAATGCTGCAAAATTACAGATATCTTCATGATTAAGGGACATGGTGGTATTTAAAAAGAAAACAGGAGGGTTGCACTCACATCCCATCATATCATCACATCGCAACTATCTTTCCAGAGTTGATTCTATGTTTTAATACAAGTAGGCTACTCATGTCATGTAGGAAAGCAGTAGATGCTTTTTTATTGGAATAATCTGGAAAATAAAGACCTGTATACTCGTTTCAGGTGGACGCAGTTATTCAGAGCGACCAGAGCTCATGATTCAATTCAATTCAATTCAATTTTATTTACATAGCGCCAAATCACAACAACAGTTATCTCACAGCGCTTTTCATAAAAGAGCAGGTCTAGACCGTACTCTGTGATGTTATTTACAGAAGCCCAACAGTTCCCACCAAGAGCAAGCACTAGGCGACAGAGGCAAGGAAAAACTTCCTTTAAGAGGCAGAAACCTCGAGCAGAACCATGGCTCAGGGTGGGCGGCCATCTGCCTCGACCGGTTGGGGTGAGAGAGAGAGAGAGAGAGAGAGATGTAAGGAGAGAGAGATGTAAGGAGAGAGAGAGGGGAGGGAGGCAGCCTACACAATATACACACAGAGGTACACACAGTGAAGGTAATGTTGCTATAGACTAAATGAAAAATGGTACAGATATTTATAATAGTGTTAATGGTAACCATCGTAATGTTAATGATTATAATAACAATAAGACTAGCAACAATAGTCGTTGCAGCAGAGGGTGTCGAGCAGGAACACGGGGGCAGCAGGTGACCCGCAGCCACAGATCCAGACTCCACAGCTCCAGAGCCAGAAAACCTGCAGGAAGTGATAGGAGGAGAGAGGAGAGGGACGAGAAAGCACAAGACTACCAGAAAGGGGAGAAGTTGTGTTAGTAACATGCAATAATGGGATGAGGTTGCATACAGAGGGAGAGAATGTAGAGGAGAGAGGAGCTCAGTGCATCATGGGAAATCCCCCGGCAGTCTAGGCCTATAGCAGCATAACTAAGGGATGGTTCAGGACTACCTGAGCCAGCCCTAACTATAAGCTTTATCAAAGAGGAAAGTCTTAAGCCTACTCTTAAATGTGGAGATGGTGTCTGCCTCCTGAACCCAAACTGGAACCTGGTTCCACAGGAGAGGAGCTTGATAGCTGAACGCTCTGGCGCCTAGTCTACTTTTGGAGACTCTAGGAACCACAAGTAACCCTGCATTCTGGGAGTGCAGTGCTCTGGTGGGGTAGTAAGGTACTATGAGCTCTTTAAGATAAGATGGTGCCTGACCATTAAGAGCTTTGTAGGTAAGAAGAATGATTTTAAATTCTATTCTGGATTTTACTGGAAGCCAGTGCAGAGAAGCTAAAACAGGAGAAATGTGATCTCTTTTCCTGGTTCCTGTCAGAACACGTGCTGCAGCATTCTGGATCAGCTGAAGAGTCTTAATGGACTTTTTCGAGCAGCCTGATAATAAGGAATTGCAGTAATCCAGCCTAGAAGTAACAAATGCATGGACTAGTTTTTCTGCATCATTTTTAGAATGATAAATGTAAATCCAGTCAGAGTTCTGAGGTAATCCAGATGCAAAACAAAAGCGCACTAAATGATATAGGCCAACATAAAATTTGAATCCTGCCTTAATTGTGGATTTTTTCTTAGACAAAAAGTATTTCTTCTTCTTTGGTCTTTGTTTCTAATGCAGATCATTTTCCTACCCTGTATACAGTTTTTAATGCTGTCATAAATGAATATTTAAACAGTGTTTCTGAAGCAATTTTTTTTCATGTTTAGTTTTTATCTTTTCAATTAATCTTCTACACCAATGCAGCACTTTTATTATATGCAATAAGAAGGTACTCTAGTTACGTGTTTATCTTGTCTCGTCTATCTTATCATGTTTTCATGAAAAAGGAGCTTTACACACAACCTTATCAGAGCTAATGATAATGGTAGTAAATTTTAGCATGCCAGTTTTAGCACACCATAGTCAACTAAACAATCATATGTAATAATATATAATCATATAAAATGTAATTTCTCAACAACAAAAATGTGGATAGTTAAAATGCTGTGGCTAGTAACTTTGGAGCAAAAAAGTTAATGTAAAGCCCTGACTGTAACTTACTTGTTCAAGCTTCATGTGGTGAATTTCTGTTAATAATAGACAAATAATAATTAGGGCTTTCAAGCGATTAAAAAAATGAATGTAATTAATTAAATAATTAATAATGAATTGCATATGTAGATATTTGCCGTGACAATCAATCAATCAATCAATCAAACTTTATTTCTAAGTCAAGGCGTTAATTGCAGCATTAATGGCACTAGTCAAGGCGTGCTGTGACAAATGCATGTATAACCCTCTCAAAGTCTGTGAGGGATAAAAAGGGCTTAAGCTTAGTAAGAAGCCTAAGTTGAAAGAAACTTTCACAACAGAATTGATCTGCTTCTCCATTTTAAAATCACAATCCATTATTACTCCAAGGTTTGTTACAACAGACTTAACATGGCACTTCACTGCTTGGACAGATAACAATCCCCTGTCCTACATCTTGATAAAGCCCCACCTGGACGCCTGTGAACAAAGATGGATGGCCAAGCTCGCAGCGTATGACTTTGATCTGGAGTATGTACCAGGTATTAAGAACACTGTTGCAGACGCCTTGAGCAGTGAGCCCTTTGTCCAATCATGTGTTAGTCATCCATTGCTGAAAGAATCTTATGTTCAACTTCTGAACGAGGTCAATGGCATTGTCAGGGGCACAGTGCAGGATGCTTTTAGGCTGACCAATAATTGTCAAGATGTACGGGAGTCAGGGCCAGAGTCGCCAGATCCTGGTGCTGGGGCTGTGTCTCAGCACGTGGGGGGTTCCATTAGTCCAGAAGAGGTGTCAGCTGCGCTGGATGCCCAAGGGGGTTGTGGATTAGCCAGTCTGCCTAGCGCTTACCCACCGTTGCCACAGCTGCTTGGTGAGGACCCTTCTATTGTCTGCCTTCAGGAGCAGGATACAACGATAAGTAGAGTTTTATTTTATGTGCAACGTCATAGGAAATCTACCAGACATGAAGCAGCATCTGAACCTGCCTGCATCACTAAGCTCCTCAGACACTGGAAAAAGCTAAAGCTAAAAAATGGGATCCTGTACAGAGTGAGGAAAACCACCGGGTGAATAAGAAGCTCTTCCAGTTTATTGTACTGGATGGCCTTAAACATCAGATCCTGCTCTGCATTCATGATGCTGCTGGCCATCAGGGTTGTCCACGTACTCTCTCCCTCACCAGGGAACGTTTTTTATGGACTGGAATGGAAAGAGAGATAGTGAACCATGTACGCCAGTGTGAGAGATGTGTTGTTGGCAACACGCCTGAATCTGAGGCTCGTGCACCCCTTGAAAACATTCAGACATCTGCACCGATGGAATTAGTGTGTATTGACTTTTGGTCTGCCGAACTGAGCAACAAGAAAACAGTCGATGTCTTGGTAGTAACGGACCCTCAAAAATGGCACACGCCTTCCCCTGTAGGAACCAATCTGCAAAACATGTTGCTCGTCGGTTATGGGATGATTTTTTCTGTGTATATGGCTTCCCCAAAAGAATCCATTCGGATCAGGGTGCCAACTTTGAAAGCAGTCTCATGAGAAACCTTTTGGAGATGGCGGGGGTGCACAAACCACACACTCACGTACCACCCCACCCATCACCCAATGGGTAATGGTGTCACAGAATGCTTCAATAGGACTCTTGGAAATATGTTGAGAACCCTTCCCCCGACAACAAAAGCCAAGTGGCCACAGGTTTTGCAGACATTGATCTTCTGCTACAACTGCACAGTACACGAGACCACTGGCATCACCCAATTTTTCTTGATGTTTGGGCAGGTTCCGCGCCTTCCTATCAACATCATGTTCCAGCATGTGCTCCAGGATGAAAAAGTGGTCAGCCGTAATGAGTTTGTTATTCACTTGAAGCAGGACTTGTGTGAGGCCACACAGATTGCTCGACAGCACAGTCTTGGAGAGCAAGTACGTCACGCCAGGCTCTATAACCGCAAGGTCAGGGGCTCCCCATTGGCTGTGGGTGATCGAGTCTTGCTGGCCAATTGTGGTGAAAGGGGCAAGAGGAAGCTTGCTGATAAATGGGATTCATCCCCTTATGACATTGTTTCAGTGAGGTCCGGGATTAATGTGTACAGGATAAAAGATGCTCAAACTGGCAGAGAGAGAGTTGTGCACAGGAACCTTCTACTCCCAGCTGACTTTCTTTACCTGGATGTGGTCGAAACACCAGTCTCCCTTGTGGGCTCATACCCTGTTGATGTGGCTGGTGGAAGTGGGCAGGATTCAGTGGTGGTGGGCAATGTGGATCGCAATGCCCAGACTATGGACTGGCTCATGCATAATCCTGAAGTTCTGGATCCTGTTGTGAATGGTGACTTATCCCCTGATGCAAGAAGTGATTCCGTCCCCGACGATGTCCTTGCTGGAACTCTTGACTGTCCTGCACATGGCTTCGCTACAATGGAGGAGGCTGAGGCGATGTCAGATCCCATCACCTGATCCAGACTCAGTGAGTGCAGCTGACCTACCTGATCCAGACCCTCTCAGTGCAGCTCAATTACCTGATCCAGACTCTGTTGATGTAGCTCGCTTAACTTCTACAGATGGCATTGACCAATGTTCCGCAGTTAGCACGCAGCCTCATAGGTTACATGCAGGTCGTACTGGGGCAGTCACTACAAGATTGGGGAGACATGTCAGACCCCCCCAATAGGTTGATTTATGAGATGTCAACACAAAAGGTTGAGAATAGCTTGCCTGTCTCGAGTTCTGTTTTCACTTTCAGTAGAATGTTTGAAGTCTAGCCTATCAGACTTTTAAGTTTTGTATGGGTCTCGGTCAAGTGAGGACTTTGTTATTCGGTTGGATTTGAAGTATGTAATGAGAGCTATGTGGTGTTAGATGTTCAGGAGATGTAAATGGCATCTTCTTTGGTCTGTAATAAGTATGGGGCATGGTACCACCCTTTCCTTTTACACTCCTTATGGGAGAATTTCATATTGACCTTAATTGTTCTGGTAATGCTTAGATGTTGCCTGGAGTTTAACAGAATTTAAGGGGGTGTATGTAACAGTGTAAATAATTAACATATGTTTATGGTTAAATTCCTGTTAAAATTGGGACTATTAACCATGGTCTATCTACTCAGCGGTATCATTTTGTTAACAGAAATTCCCAGCAAAAGGTTGTTTTGAGCTAAATGCAGTGCATTATGGGTGACCCACAGTAGTTGGGAATGCCATGCTATGGGTAAGTTGGGATTTTGTCTGCTCGGACACATATTAAGCAATAAATGTAGTTTACGTTTCCTATGAGGTGTAAAAACTGTCAGCATTAACCATTGATATTGATTTTCAAAGACATACTGGCAAAATTCGTAGTTATAGTGCTCTACAAGCTATTGTTTGTTGAATGTGTAGTAACAAATAGCATTTTGGCTAGCTGCTAACGAGCTCTGTGGTGTACGTGACAGACTAGTCTATTAATCTGGAACCGTGCTTTCTCGTCGAACGAGAGCGGACCTCTGACCAACATTTCATTCATGCTGAGCAACTGTGGTTGTGTTTGTGTCCCATTGTTGCAGGTATGTTTATATATAAAACTGTTAAGCATTTTATTGCAGTGTATGTAGTTGACGAGTTAAACTGGCAGGAGTAAATTTGTGTAGGCTGCCGACAGGCCTGCTATACTCCATTGCACAGCATATCCTGGTTCTATATTTATAAAACGGAGCCTTAGTGGGTTAAAATGTAATCCATGTAATATGTCTATGGCGAGTTATTTTGAATATTGTCATTAAATATTATTGCATTTATTGTTGATAGCTTACTATTACAAAGCCTAGAATATGTTTTAATTTCGTATGTTTTTGTAACCTTTTTTTTTTTTTATGTTTTTTTATATTCACATTTATATATTTTTTATATATAACTGTACCACTATACGATCGCATTATGGGTGACCCACAGTAGTTGGGAATGCCATGCTATGGTTCAAGCAAGAGTGGACCTCTGACCAACTTCTCATTCATACTGAGCAACTGTGGTTGTGTTTGTGTCCCATTGTTGCTGAATAAACTATTCTGAGTGCTCAATCCATCTTGACTCCAGCGAAGTGTTTGGGGATAGCAGACAGAACAAAATAGAGAAGGTCACACTGGCACATGTGCCAAAGGTTGCTGACCCCTGTTCTATCTAATCCAAAGCCAGCAACCACTGCAGAATGAATGTTCACTGCTGGTGGCTGAAGGATAGATTGTGGTATATTGTATATATAGCTTTTCTTTGTGCCTTTCTCTCCTCCTCCTGCTTATTAACCCCACATGCACACGCCATATGACCCCTGCAGCTAGCCGCTAGTGCGTCACCATTTTTGTAGTTCAGGAGAGAGATTGTTGGCAAGTCGTTGGCTGTGATTCTTTGTGTATAATGTTGTAGCAAGAGTTGGTTACCACGGTCAGTGTACAGATTCACCCTTCTCTGTTTGCCACCTATAGGTGCATAAAACCATTTAGACTGATTATTTTGCTCATACTGGGTTATTGGTCCATTCCAGGGTGGTGCCTCAGATTTATTAATTATAATTAATATTTTGAATATTCATACTTTGATTAATATTTCAAGAATATCTTGGATATTCAACAAATTCAGCTAAATTTTAAGATAAAAATACTACATAATGTTGCTTTGCAGCACCAGTGCAGTCAGGTCCGGTGACAATTTATTAATTAAAACACCATGCCATTGCTTATAAAAAGAGAAAGTAAAATTGTATAAGCAGCTAAATAAATACTCTAAATCAATGCTGAGTCAGAACATGCTGATTTCAAATACTTTCAAAAGTACTATTCCTGCTCACCTCACTAAACGTGCCTCGGCCGATGACCTTCAGGATGTGAAAGTCCTCTCTTTTGATACGAGTCCTCTTCACCTGCCTCACCAGGGTCTCAGCTGTGATTGCAGGAGAGAAGACAGAGATTGTGTCTACCAAAAGTTTTATTTGTATTAAAAATTATGGTATAAATCACTTCAAACTGCACTCTCATAAGTACATTTGGCACATGCTGTCTGGCCAATAAACTGATGCTTCTCAACAGAGCAAACAGACTTTTCCAGATCTGCTGCCCTGTCTGCACCGAAACCTTGCTTGGTGAGCACATAGTGTACTACCACCTCTGCATAGCCTGCAGGCTCTCTTTGTGTTGTCAAGGGCTGGACTGGTAATCTGGCATTTGCCTGGTGGTCCGACACACCTTGGGGCCAATTTAGTTAGTATAGCCAGAAGGAGAGGATAGCCATGGTCACTGCCAGGCAGAGGAGGAGGCGTGTGACAGTGAAGCAGAGGGACAGAGTGACCGTGAAAGGGCGATGGGACACTTGACAATTACAAGAACAACTAGACAACTATTGCTAACCTTTATTATTAGTGTGAATGCTGTGAAGCAGCACACTATTGTTATTCAAATCTATATTATTTTGAATTCTTCTTCCGTACGTTTTTTGAGTGCTAACTACTTCTGCATACTCTGTGCTACAAAAACCATTCAACTATTAAAATGTTCAGCTTTTTAAGGACATTTATGCTATTACATAACTTTTATACCTTTTACACTTTTTAAACTATTAAGCTTTTCATGTAATTTTTTTAACATGTAAGTCAGTGGAGAAATCTTCAACTCCTCCTTAAACATCTTCAAATTACTACTTCTGCAAACTTTCAGCTACATTCATCAGTTCAACTGTCAATTGTTCAAAAATCTTTAAGCTATTAATGTTGTATTCAACTTTTTGATATCTTCTATAGTTTTTTCACAGTCCCTGTTTTAGTTTTACAAAGATTTCAAGCCGTTTCTGAGTTTATAATGGAAACGGATGGGACGGAATGTGGTAGTAACTTCTGCAGTACTAATAGTACTAATAGTAGTGGTAGTAGTAGTAGTTTGTGCTGTAGTGGAGGTGGAAGTAGCACAAGAAGTATTAATAATGGTAGGAGTATTAGCAGCTGTGGTAGTAACTACTGCATTACTAATAGTACTAATAGTAGTAGTAGTAGTAGTAGTACCAGGTGGTGGTAGTAGTAGTAGTACTAGTACTAGTGAGTGCAGTAGTGGTGGTGGTAGTAGTACAATAAGTATTATTAGTGGTAGGAGTATTAGAAGCTGTTGTAGTAACTACTGCACTACTGCATTACTAACAGTACTAATAGTAGTAGTAGTAGTAGTAGTACCAGGTGGTGTTAGTAGTAGTAGTTGTTAATGCAGTAGTAGTGGTGGTGGTAGTAGTACAAGAAGTATTAATAATGGTAGGAGTATTAGCAGCTGTGGTAGTAACTACTGCATTACTAATAGTAGTAGTGGTAGTTGTAGTACCAGGTGGTAGTAGTAGTAGTAGTAGTAGTAGTAGTAAGTGCAGTTGTAGTGGTGGTAGTAGTACAAGACGTATTAGTAGTCATAGGAGTATTAGCAGTTGTAGTAACTACTGCATTACTAATAGTACTAATAGTAGTGGTAATAGTAGTAGGTAGTGCTGTAGTGGTGGTGGAAGTAGTACAAGAAGTATTAATAATGGTAGGAGTATTAGCAGCTGTGGTAGTAACTACTGCATTACTAATAGTACTTATAGTATTAGTAATAGTAGTTGTACCAGGTGGTAGTAGTACTAGTAGTACTAGTACTAGTGAGTGCAGTAGTGGTGGTGGTAGTAGTACAAGAAGTATTATTAGTGGTAGGAGTATTAGAAGCTGTTGTAGTAACTACTGCACTACTGCATTACTAACAGTACTAATAGTAGTAGTAGAACCAGTGTGATGGTCGTAGTAGTAGTTAATGCAGTAGTGGTGGTGGTAGTAGTACAAGAAGTATTAATAATGGTAGGAGTATTCTCAGCTGTGGTAGTAACTACTGCATTACTAATAGTAGTAGTGGTAGTTGTAGTACCAGGTGGTAGTAGTAGTAGTAGTAGTAGTACTAGTAAGTGCAGTTGTAGTGGTGGTAGTAGTACAAGAAATATTATTAGTCGTAGGAGTATTAGCTTTTGTAGTAACTACTGCATTACTAATAGTAATAATAGTATCAGTAGTAGTAGTAGTGGTAGTAGTAGTACCAGGTGGTAGTAGTAGTAGTAGTGGTAGTAGTAGTTAGTGCAGTAGTGGTGGTGGAAGTAGTACAAGAAGTATTAATAATGGTAGGAGTATTAGCAGCTGTTGTAGTAACTACTGCATTACTAATAGTACTAGTAGTAGTAGTAGTAGTAGTAGTAGCAGAAGCAGTACTCTGGATGCAGTACAATGACTTTCATTCAACAAACAGGTAAACTGTCACGCTCTGCCGGTTGGCCATCCTTTGTGTTTACTTTTGAGTTTGGTATCTGCCTTGGTATGTTGAGTTTTGGGTTCTGTCCTGTCTAGTGTCCAGTATCTGTTATATAGTCTGCTTGTCATGTCTAGTCTCTCTGTTTTCCTCTGCTCTCTCTCTCTCTGCCTCGTTAGTCTCATGTCTGTCACCTGTGTTGCTCCCGCCCTGCTCGTTAGTCCCTGTGTATATATACCTGGTGTTTCTGTCTTGTCCTTGTCCGGTCATTGTTCATGTTACCCCCCAGTCTGTCGTGTGTGTACTCTCTGCCTGTAACCAGCCTTGCTTGTCTCGTCTCGTCTCGTCTCGTCTCGTCTCGTCTCGTCTCCCTGTACTTTTGGATTTTGGATTTCTGTTATTCAGCCACTCACCTGTAAGTGTGCTCGCTTTTGTTTGTTTATTAAAACCCCTTGTTGAACTATACCTGCTCCACTCTGTGTCCTGCGTTTGGGTCCTCCAACCTGCCTCCACACCACGATCGTGACAGAATGACCGGACCACAAAGGGACCCAGCGGACACCATGTCCGATGAACTGCTTGATCTGTGCCGGGAGCTTATGGTGCTGAGGAATATGTGGTATGGGGCTAGTCATGTTAGCCATAAGGCAGCTATCGTGTCCCTTGCCTGGAAGAGCCTGGCTGCTCAGCCAGGAGCAGCAGACTCTCTCCCTGGGTGGGTTTGTGACTTCCTCCACACCTCAGCCAATCCCCCAGCCAAGTCCTCATCAGTTCCTCAGTCTGTTAGCCTGGAAATGGCTAACACCCGGACCGCTAGCCTCTGGCCGTCATCTCCCCGGCCTGCTAGCCCTCTGCCTGTCCTGCCTGTTACCTGTTCGGCTGGCGCTGCTAGCCCTCCGCCTGTCCTGCCTGTATCCTGCTCGGCTAGCGCCGCTAGCCCTCCGCCTGTTCTGCCTGTTATCTGTTCGGCTGGCGCCGCTAGCCCTCTGCCTGTCCTGCCTGTTACCTGTTCGGCTGGCGCCGCTAGTCCTCCGCCTGTCCTGCCTGTTGTCTCTTCGGCTGGCGCCGCTAGCCCTCCGCCTGTCCTGCCTGTTATCTGTTCGGCTGGCGCCGCTAGCCCTCCGCCTGTCCTGCCTGTTATCTGTTCGGCTGGCGCCGCTAGCCCTCTGCCTGTCCTGCCTGTATCCTGCTCGGCTAGCGCCGCTAGTCCTCCGCCTAGCCTGTCCGTCCGCCTGCCTGCCCTACCTACCAAGGACTCAGGGACTATGACTCTCCTGGCCTACCTGACCATGAAGGCCAGGGAGTCAGAGGCAGCACGGGCAGCTAGGCTATGGCCTGATAGCCTGGAGGCTAGGCTTTCCCTGGAGTCGTCTTTTGAAGGGAGTCGCCTAGCCATCTTTTCGGGTTCCCGTGGTGGTCATCGGAGGCGACGAGGTCACCATCAGCGACCCGTCGGCAACAAACCTGTACCCTGGCTTGCTAAAACGGCTAGCCGCCTGCCTGATTCCCGGCCCGCTAGCGCTGCTAGCTCCACATCAGACCTGCCTGATCCCCGGCCTGCTAGCGCTGCTAGCCGCCTGCCTGATCCCTGGCCTACTCCTGCTCCCAGGTCTCACTCGGTCGTCCTACCGACACCTGTTACTGGTCCCTCATCGAAGGTCCGACTGACACCAGTTCCAAGGTCTCCGTCGGTGGCCAGACCGGTTCCCGCTCCCCGTGCCCCGTCGGTGGTCCGACCGGCACCTGCTTCGCCGGTGGCCCAGCCGACTCCTGTTCTCCCGTCGGTGGTCCGACCAACACCAGCTCCGTTGGTGGCCCAGCCTGTTCCTCGTGTTCTGTTGGCGGTTGGACCGGCTTCAGCCCCGCCGGTGGTCCGGCCGACCCCTGCTCCTCGTGTCCGGTCCATGGTTCCCAGCCCAGCTGTCCAGTCGGTGGTCAGGCCGACTCCAGCTCCTCGTGTCCGGTCCATGGTCCCCAGCCCAGCTGTCCAGTCGGTGGTCAGGCCGACTCCAGCTCCTCGTGTCCGGTCCATGGTCCCCAGCCCAGCTGTCCAGTCGGTGGTCAGGCCGACTCCAGCTCCTCGTGTCCGGTCCATGGTCCCCAGCCCAGCTGTCCAGTCGGTGGTCAGGCCGACTCCAGCTCCTCGTGTCCGGTCCATGGTCCTCAGCCCAGCTGCTCAGTCGGTGTTCAGACCGACTCCAGCTCCTCGTGTCCGGTCCATGGTCCTCAGCCCAGCTGTCTCGCCGGTGGTCCTCAGCCCAGCTGTGCCTCCAGAGCACCCAAGCTTTGGGTGCCGACCTCCGGAGAGGTCTTGCCGTCAGCCTCCTGCTCGGCCCCCAGTGGGGTTGCTGCCTCACTGTTGGCCGTCCTGCCAACCCCTTGAACTCTGTGGCCCCCCTGATTTGCCCGGCCTGTCGGGTCATCCCCCGGGACGACCTCCTGAACTCCGTGATCTCTTTGGTCTGCACGGCCTCCTGGGTCGCCCTCCAGGACGGCCTCCTGAACTGTGTTTTCCCCCTGATTTGCTCGTCCTGTTGGGTCGTCCTCCGGGACGGCCTCCCGAACTGTGTTTTCCCCCTGATTTGCTCGGCCTGTCGGGTCGTCCTCCGGGACGACCTCCTGAACTCCGTGATCCCTTTGGTCTGCACGGCCTCCTGGGACGCCCTCCGGGACGACCTCCTGAACTGTTCTGCCCCTCTGCCTTGCCCTGCATGTTAGGCCAAGCGCCTTACCTGCCCTGTTTCCTGGGCATGATCTGCCTGTTGGGTGGTTCCCCCGGACTGTTTTGTCCCCTTGGCCTGCTTGTGCGACCTCCCGAACTCTGTCGCTCCCTTGCCTTGCCCTCTGGCCACCCTCCTGAGAGTTCCTGGTCTGGCCCTCCTCCTGTCCTCCCTCCGCCCACCCTGGCTCGACTTGCCCTCCTCCTGTCCTCCCTCCGCCCACCCTGGGCCGGCTTGTGCCTTGATTTTGTGCTGTTTTGGGTTTTGTTGACCGTCTGGAGACGCTCGTCGGGGGGGGGTACTGTCACGCTCTGCCGGTTGGCCATCCTTTGTGTTTACTTTTGAGTTTGGTATCTGCCTTGGTATGTTGAGTTTTGGGTTCTGTCCTGTCTAGTGTCCAGTATCTGTTATATAGTCTGCTTGTCATGTCTAGTCTCTCTGTTTTCCTCTGCTCTCTCTCTCTCTGCCTC